GAGTTCAGGACCAGCATTCTTGGCCATGACTGGACAGTCAGAGGATTCAGAAATGGCCCTCACGGCCAAAACAGAGGCATCAGGAAACAGGGAGAGTTTAAAGATAGTGTCCGTGGTGGGAACAGAGGCGACAGGGACAAGATTCTGGAATGGCTGCCATGATGGGACAAGGCTCTGGAACGGCGGCGCTGACGGGACGAGACTCTGGAAGGGCGGCCATGATGTGATGGGACTCTGGAGTGGTGAACACTGTGGGAGTGCTGCGTTCCTCCTCCACGACTCCCACAGTAAATTGAGAACCACTTAATTGTAAGGCTAGATCAATATAAGATTCCAAAGTCCAGTGAGGTTTGTGCAATGGCATGATCAAACTAAGTGGCTCAGACAGCCCTCCTCGAAAAAAGATCATGAGGCATACCTTGTCCATGTTGGTCAAATGAGCCAGCTCAACAAAGTCCATTACATAGTCCTCGATGGGCCGATCTCCTTGACGGAGACACATAATTTGTGCTGCTGGATTCATCTTTGCTGGTCTGGATGCACTCATAAAGCTGCTGGATCCGTGTGGGGCCGATTATTCTGTAACGGGGAAGGCGTGACGACAGAGTTGAGGATCCATCTACAACTTTATTTAGAGCGTAGTCGGACTGGCAGGGTCAAAACACCAGCAAAACAGTACATCCAAGGTAATCCAAAAGAGTAATCCACAGAACAGGCAGTAAACGATCACAAACCAGGTAAACAGTCCAAGAACAAAACACGAAGGCAAGGCAAGACAAGGAAGAAACTAGACAACATAGGCTAAACAATAATCAGAACAAAACACGAAGGCAAGGCAAGACAAGGCAGAAACTAGACAACATAACAGGCTAACAATAATCAGCCATGTGTGTGTGGATGAGTGCAACCTTTATAGTGTCACTGATAGTAAACAGGTGTGGTGTGATAATGAGTTCCTAGGCAGGGGTTATGGGAAATGGAGTCCAGAGAAAACAAAGATGAGACCCACTATCGTGACAGTAGCATTATTGAAGTGTAAACATTTTTTTTTAGCTTGTTGATGGGGCTGTAAAAGATGTCAACACACTTTTGAGCTGTGAAAATAAAGCCCGGAGTCTTCTAAAACAGCTGGACAGCTTTCTTCTGAGGTAGATAACTAGTTGCTATCATTGTCACATTCTCACATAAGTAGAATCATAAGATTGACATGCTTTTTCCTTTTTTTCAATTGCAGCTATAAGACAAGTCTGGAGGAACTTGTCAAAAGAAAACAAGAAAACATTCCTAAAACTCTCACTGCTAATCTGGTTAACATTTACCAGTTTAGGTGAGTTTGATTAATGACAAATCTGTTTTCTGCCTTACTGCAGACGTTCTAAAAAGTGTACATTTTTTATTGTTTAAATATGCTGTTTCGATATAATGTAAATATTTATTTTAAAATGATTATAAATTGCACTATAGTATAATGCATCATGTTATATACTTGAATTTAAAATCATTCAAATAAAATTTTATTTTATATAAACTAGAGCTCTCTGTTAACTGTTAACATGTTAACAAGTCTACTGTCTTAATTACTATAAAATTGTACCAACCATTATTTATCTATATCTTCAGGGATTATGTACAAAAACCAGAACATCCTTTCTCAGAGGACACTAGAACAGCTTTATTTTAAAATTATTATAAATTGCACTATAGTATAATGCATCATGTTATATACTTGAATTTAAAATCATTCAAATACAATTTTATTTTATATAAACTAGAGCTCTCTGTTAACTGTTAACATGTTAACAAGTCTACTGTCTTAATTACTATAAAATTGTACCAACCATTATTTATCTATATCTTCAGGGATTATGTACAAAAACCAGAACATCCTTTCTCAGAGGACACTAGAACAGCTTGCCTGTCCACATTAGCAGATCTCAAAAACATTTGTCACAAATATTTCCTGAGTCGTATTCACACAGAACTGAAGGTAAAGAACAAAAATCATGTACAGTTACTGTACTTATTTACCTCGAGATACTGCCCCAATCAACATTTTCCATCTCATGTTTTATGTTAGATGGCCAATGAGGAAGTGTTTAGTATAGTATATCCAGATATCACAATTTAGAAGTCAGCATTTGATACTACAGCAATTCAACAAACTTGGATTTAGCCAAGTAGTTCCTGTAACAACATACTTGTTGGTCCTGGAACAGCATTTAAATCAATGGTTATGATTAAATGTTTGCTTGAAAGGTCTGACATGTTTTGGCTCAACCTGTGGTGGTCAATGGAATTATACTTTTTTAAACCTTTAACTTAAAATTTATCTCAGATTTTTAGAGGTAGGTTATGGAAAGGCCGTAAAGAATGGCTTGGCTTTTGATTTTATTATAGGAATGTTGTTCCAGGAACAACACAGATCTCCTCACTTAGATACATCACATAATATGCTTTACTTTCATGTTTGTGATGCTTCTTTTAATATTAACTTCTTAAATTAAATCTTACATTTTGGAAATAACCAAATTGTTTATCTGCACAGCCGCTGTATCGTAAACTGTGGACTCAAGTTTGGTTCACTGGACATTGTGAGGTTGTGGAGGAGCTGGTGAAGGCGCTTGAGAATAAAATAGACAATTTCAAAGAACTAAAGTCTGTCTGCAGAGAGGTCAGAACCACTTTTGCAGCGAATGTCATTTCTGACAGTCTTATAACGTGATGTTAACAGACATGTAATCTCATTTTGGTCTCTATAATCTGGTGTGTGTTTTATTGTTTTAAGATAAAATTATAGATATATGAAGAGTGTGTGTCTGTGTGTTTATAGGAGCTACTGGCTGAGCTGCATGTAGAAGTAATGGTTGAATATGTGAGGCGAATGATGAAGAGAAAACTAAAACTGAAAAGCAAAGAGCAGCAAGAAGCAGCTGCTGAGTTCATCTGCCACGACAGCAATAAAATCTGCTCTGTGTTTGCCAAAGTGGTGAGATCACATCCAGACCCACACAACACATGTATGCATAAACATACACTCACATGCGGCCAAAATATGCAGTGGGGTGTTCATGCACATTGTAAATTGATAATGGAGTTAATGTACAAATGTTTTATAAAGGTATATATATATATATATATATATATATATTCTATATACAGTATATAACATTGCAGTGAATGGGTGCCGTCAAAATGAGAGTCCAAACAGTTGATAAAAACATCACAATAAATCACAAGTAATCCACTTTACTCCAGACATTTTTAATGTCTCAAATAAGAGTCCTCTATCCATGATATTGCTGTCTCTTCTCTGAATCAGGAGAGAAATATGCACGGATCAAACACCATTTACAAGTGAAAACAGTCCTAAACTGTTCTAAACAAATATGTCAGTGGACTTTGATGTGAGATGATGACAAGGGATGGACATTTTCACTGTATGAAGCATTATTATGAATTTTTGACTCATATTTTGATCAGAAGCAATGATTTTAAATTACATTCAGTGCAGAGGATCCATTGGTGTTTTCAGGAAATTTTTATTTTTGGTTGAACTATTCCCTTGATCAATGTTTTATCTATATTTAGTTCTTTTAATGAAGTTTTGATGTAAATATGTTTGTGTTTCATGTGTTTTTATCTCAGTTGTTCACATTGGGAATCTTAATAATTAAAGCCCTAGAGGCTTAAGAGTGTTGTTGGGTTAATTAGTTAAAATGGTTTGAAAAATTGAAAACATTTATGTGGCTGACATGCTGACAGTAACATACAGTAGTGTGGTACTATTATTTTTAAACCCAATATGACAATTAGTCAAAGACAAAATATGGCCATATTTACTGTATTCTCTTTACATTGTTCTCTTTGTTTGAAACATCATAATGAATTGTGGGAAAGCAGAGGGAAATTATGATGTCACTATAAAACTATTTCTAAATAGTTTAGAAATTTGATTTCTAAATCAGGTACCATTCTCTTCTCTAGGGATCCAGAGAGGAATGGCTCTGTCAAATACTGCCCAAATTATCAGAGATTCTGAGACTGCAGGATCCTGGGAGTTTGCAACTTGAGATTGTTACTCTGGCAAGAGACTATCCTGACATAAGGTAAGTCTGTTAGATATGAGCTGGCAAGATGCAGTCACTTTACCTTAGAGAAAGAAACTATAGCAAAATATCTTATTTTCACTCTTGTTCGTTCTTTATTCAAATATCTACTTACAACATGCAGTTTCAGTACAGATGCCATTAGCCAAATGAAAGATGAGTTTAGAATTTGATGATCAGTCTTACAGTACAGTGTGACTCTTGTTTCATCAATATTCTTTGTTGTCATTCTTCACTAGTGAGCAGCATGTTCTTGCTCTCCTAAACCTGAAGACCAACCTTTCAAGCTCAGATCTGCGCAGGATCAAAGGGTGTCTGAGCGAAAACAGAGGCACACTGGACACACTGGAGTCCTCTACTTCCTTCTTCTCTAAAGTACTCATCAAACGGAAAATCATCTAAATGCCCGGTTACATCTATAGCTAATGCTAAACAACTGTGATTCATACTGTGATACATAATCAGTGTTGTTATGTAATATTTATTATTTAAAAACTGTGATATTATTCTGTTCTTCTCAACTGATTTCACACTGTTCTCCAAAAGTCCTCTACTTCCTTCTTCTCTAAAGTATTTGTCAAATGGAAAATCATCTGAATGCCCTGTTACATCTATAGCTAATGTTAAATACCTGTGAAGCATACTGTGATACAAAATATGTATTATCCATTCATCCATCCATTTTCCATACCCTCTGCAGGGTCGTGGGTGGCTGAAGTCTGAACGGATGGCCAGTATAATCAGTATTATTTTAAGTAATATTTATTTTTATGAAAACTCATATCAAGTCTGTTACAAGTCATAATATTCTGTTACAGTTTTTCTTCAACTGATTTTACAGTATTCTTCAAAATTAAGGTCAAGAACAATGCGTTTTGAAATTTGTATTTAATCAACGAAATTTTTTAATATGGCGGAACATTACAAGTTTTTTTATAGCACTGAATTTGTGTAAAACCAGTTGAGAAAACCTATGAAATGCCATAAATCTAAATGGTAAAATCAAATGTAAACAAAAAAGGTGTATATTTATAATGTAAACTGCTTCATTTGAATGCATGTTCAAAGCTCTCAAAAATGATTTAAACATTCTGATATTGTCAGACTTTTGTACCTGTTTTGCCCCGTAGTCCTTCCTGTGTTTCCTTATTTGGTCAAGTTCCGGTCCTCGTTTAGTTTGATTATGTTCCATTGATGTCACCTGTGTTCCCCAATTATCCCTTGTATTTACGTTTTAGCCTGTGCCATTCTCCTTTGTCCGATATTGAATGTTCGTCTTGTGCTACATGTGTTCCTGGCAGCCCTGTGTATCCCGTGTTGGAAGTAGTGATGCAAAGTCCGATTCATTTCCGCGAACCGGTTCTTTTCGGACAGATCGGCTAATTAAACCGGTTCAAAAAGCCGATTCATCGGTTCCTGACGTCATCAAACAATAACGTCTCTACGCATTTCATTTCTAACAACTCGGTGCCATGTTGTATCAATGAAAAATTCAAATGAGTCATTTGTGTCAACACATATTGAAACATTCAAAAATAAAGTTATTTGTGTGAAAGCATACTGCTGATTAATGCCATATAATTCACATAAGTTAATTGTGTTTGTGGTCACAGTTTCATTCGCAGATCCTCAGATACGACTGACTGACCAATATTGACTAGCCTACAACTTGGATAAGATTCCTAAAAGTTTCGCACCTACAGCACACATTACAGACATTGATGCACAAACGCGCATATGTTCTACATGTCTACAGTATAAAGAATGAATAAACCAGTCTTATAAACTCCTTGATTTCGCTTAAGCAACTTTAAATATAATATGCATGCACAATAAACTACAGTAAAATTTATTTGCATCACTCGACAGAAAGGTTTTAATAAAATGAAAATTAATAACAGTCATAATAAGCATATTTCCAGTACGCGCCTCAGGCTTGCACAGTATCGTCAACTCAATCAGAATCTTCGGTAATCCTCTGCAAACTTCGCCACTAAAAGTTTCGCACCTACAGCACACATTACAGACATTGATGCACAAACGCGGATATGTTCTACATGTCTACAGTATAAAGAATTAATAAACTAGTCTTATAAACTCCTTTATTTCGCTTAAGCAACTTTAAATATAATATGTATGCACAAACTATTGTACAATTTATTTACATCACTTGACGGAAAGGTTTTTGCAGGTTTTAATAAAATGTAATTTAATAACAGTCATAATAAGCATATTTACAGTACGCGCCTCAGGCAAGTTGCACAGTATCGTCAACTCATCAGAATCTTTGGTAATCCTCGGCAAACTTCGCCACGGCTCATTCCGTTCTTGTTGAGTCCTCAGTAATCCTCGGCAAACTTCGACAGTTGGTTGAACCGGCTCATTCGGTTCTTTTTGAGTTGGACGTGCTACTTCGGCTGTGCGTCCTGCGTCATCAACCCGGAACTAAAGATAGATTCAGTTCGATTTGTGAACCGGCTCGACCGGTTACTTCCTGAGAACCGGCTCAAAAGAACGATTCGTTCAAGAACCTAACATCACTAGTTCGAAGGATTAAAGACTGTGATATCTCCTGCATCTCCTCGTTCCTCGTTCCACGCTCCTCCGAAGATGGCCCTCGAGCGGAATTCGCCGCATTTGTGGAGTGGACACTGGCGATCACATATGGGCTTACATTTCTGCCACAATTCTGCGCGCGAAAGATCATATTTTGAGCGCACAAAAGTGCATTTTGCA